AATGTTGCCAAGACAATCTCAATCTCACATGGGAAAAGACCCGAATACAACAAGACCAGCAAACCTACACCCATGAAAATCTACGAAAACACACACGCACGCACGGACACACACACACACACGTACGTTTTATATTGAGCAGGAATTGTTTTTAAATCAAATCATAATTTTTGTTTTCTTTATACCTTCAATGAAGTTTCTTTGATTTCAGCAAACTGAAATCAGTGATCATGCTTCAGTGGAAGTATGAGCTGTATTTGAAAAAGCATTAGAAAATAATTTAATCTCTCAATAGAATGAATAGAAACTGGATGTAAGGCAATGTTGAAGTTGCTTATCCTGTAGAGTGCCATAGAAATGTTTGTAGTTACACTGATGGAAAGAGTGAAAAAAGGTTTGGTGGAATGATGAAAGCAAAAAGACCCTGGATAAGAAAAAAATGCATGCCCAAGAATAATTGCTGAAAAAAATATGTATATTTCTTTCTTTCATTTATATGACTGCCCCACTCACAAAAGAGATCTTGGGCAACATACAGTTAGATTAAAGCACAAAAACAAATGCTAAAACAAAACACAGCATCCAGGACAGGATAACCAAAGCCAACCATCACATATTTCATTCAAGTTGTTTCATCTATGAATGGCTTATTCCATGCTCTAAAATCCTGGGGGAAGAACCAGGTTTTTCAGACCCATGAAACAGAACAGCAGGATCAGAGTCATCTAAATCTTGGGGAAAGCGTTCCATAGGGCAAGTGCTGTGACAGTGAAAGCATGCCTCCTGGTCCTGCCAGGTGACATTGTTTCTTATAAAAATCCCACAGCATGCCCATTCTGCCAGATTCCATAGGATGAACAAAGATAATTGTGACAGATGGCCACACAAATAACCTGGCCCTGTGCCATGAAGAACTTTATAGGTGATAATCAGCACTTTGAATTGCATCCAGAAGCTGAAAAGGAACTCGTTTAGCACACAAAATAATGGTGCTACATACAACATGTCTTCAGGACCACAAGATACAAAAGTCTGAAGCAGTGCGAAGTTGCGGGAAAAAGAAAACAGCTTAGTCTCCCCCCGATCAAATAGTAGCAGTGTTTGAGGCAATATGGCTGCTCGCAGTATGATAGGTCATGTGACAGCACAGGATGCAGACTGACAGTCCAACTGAGCCACCTGCTGCTCCTGTTCTAATTGTCACACATATTCCAGACATCTTCTGGAATGTAAAGGGCAGGCAACATAGAGGTTCTGACAGCTCAATACTCAGGGAAAGGGGAAAGCAATTCAACTGATATGCTGCTGTTATTACCTGAGGGAGGAATAAAGCCAGTGTAGCCACCATTGCAAAACCAATGACATTTTCGTCAGCGAAGTGGCAGCAACTCCTGCTCAACTCTCCCATCCACTGAACAGCTGATCAGAGCTGCCTTCATTATTGCTTTTCCACTGCCCAATTACTGACTGGTTGCACAATTCTTGGCAAAAAAGAAAGCTGTGGGAAAGGCCGCCTTGTTTGGTTGCCTGAGAGGCCCTTTGTGATGTGAGCCATCACTATTAATCTGATGCCATAAAGCCTCACTGCCTAGCCAAGAACCAGGCTGTGGACCGGGGTTGGGGACCCCTCTCTATAGCTCATATTCTGTATATTTATTTCAATAAAACTTAACTGTCCCATCCTTAGCACACACCTGGCACAATCGGGAGTAGGGAGATTTTGTAATGTATATGGAGTGGGGAATGTAGAGAATGAATGTGCAAAGAAATGAAAACGGTTATGAGAGTCTTTGTTGAATGTAATGTATGAGTAATATGTAAAATATAATCAAATAAGTTCATTTATTTTACATCAACACTGGTAAGAAATATAAAAAACAAAAAGCTTTAGGACATCGTGAAAGCAAGGCAGGTTTTCAAGAATATAAAGGCAAAGAGAACATAGTAAATATGGTGTTCTTATGATCTGCCTTTATTTTCTTTTTGTTTATTACTTCTGTTTTATAACTTTGCATACCTTGAAGAAAATTGCCTGAACACTCTGTACCTATTACTGAGATTCATTGTTCTATCCAACACCTGAAAATTCTGCTTTTTCTATGTCAGAACTTTGAGATTAGAGTAACTACTATCTAAGCACATCCTCTTTGGCCTGATTTTGCTGATGTAGAAAGTGTTTTAATAGTTTGTTTTTAAATTAATGAATGTTTTGGAAGAAATGTAGTCTATCATAAATCCTGTATAGATAGTATATAACTCTGATTAAGATTTAATTACAGATACGCTGATCCAAAACAAAAAAAAATCTAAAATAATTAGTGTTACAAGGACCTTTGATCTAAATGGATTGATTAAAAAGGGCAGATTAATGCTGATTCAGCTTTTTTGCTCTTAGGTGGCAGTCTTGCGAAGCTTCTTTCTTGACTTTTTGGATTTTTAGGAAAAGAAGGAAGGATAGATTAATAGATATAGAAAAAAGTTACATTTTTCAGGTTTGAAATGATTATTTAAAACATAGAATAATAAGAGTTGGAAGGGATCTTGGAGGTCTTCTAGTCCAGGTGTCGGCAACATTAAACACTCAAAGAGCCATTTGGACCTGTTTCCCACAGAAAAGAGCCACAAACCCCTTTTGACATCTAAAATGAAGATAACACTGCATATATCATTTTCAATAAAATGTATTGAAATATTAGGTTATTTGTGAAAAATACATAGTTTAATCTAATTAATAGTTTAATGTATTCAAATTAAGATACATTGATATAGAGTTTGTATGTAGAGAAAAATAAAATCTTGATTTAAGGAATGCATAATCTACTGTTTTGTTTAATTTTTTTAAAAATGCTTTATTAAATGAAAGGGAAATAAAGTATCTATATTTTATAAATCAGAATCTATTTTATTAGGCTCTAACATAATTTAGCAATGACAGCTGTGATACTAAGCATTTTATTTTAAAAAAAGGCTCAATTGGTGATTTTAAAATTCCCTTCCCATCATTTTATTAATAGTGAAAAGTGACTGGTTATTTTAAAAGTACTTTATCTTAGATTTTAAGATAAATATTTATTTATGAGGCTTATCTGCGTTTTTAGTCAGCAGGAAAATAAACAAGAAACTTTTTCCTTCACAAAAGCTGTATGTCCATGCCGCTTCGGCTTATTCGTGTTACTGTACAAATCCTGTGGTAGAAATAAATGCACCTGCTGTTGGAGGGTGCCACGAACAAGAACTGGTTCAAGCCACCTCAGGATTGAATACACCATACAGTAGAGTAGTCAGCAGAGCTCTTGAACTGTTTTGGAGCATGAGGAAAGGTCCATCGTAAATGTGACAGGTTTTCTTTTTTGGGGGAAAAAGTTACTCTTCTTTCTGTTGCCTAACAAGTCAGGTACATTACTTTTTCTCATCTTCCCTAATTCAGCACTGTGATAAATTTGCAGCTTGGGAGCTTCCCCAAAAGGATTCAAATATATATCACCTAACTCTTATTTCTGATACCCCCCCCCCCTTCCGCCTGGGTGGTCTTGTCCTTCTTTGCCGAGGGAGCAAATCGGACAGATGGAAATCAATGTTGAATATTCAGTGCTAAAAGTTGTCTGGTTTCAAACACTCCCTTCCTGCAGGTCTCCCTTCAAATCACCGGAAAATCCTCCCACCCTCCCACAGGACATAATAATAGATTTTTTCTTTCCAATCTTATAGTAAATGTTTATTTAGAATTTACCCCACCTGATCATTTGAGTCAGGCAATCTTTATATTCTGTGTGTGTGTGTGTGTGTGTGAGTTTGTGTGTGTGCATGTACACACATACCCTTCCAAGGCTCTCGTAGACCTCCATCAGGCTGCAGAAGCGAAACCAAACCTACCTCTTCATATGCATTCATGTGTAACCACAAACATTTGCATACGTTTCGCCCATACGTTCGGGATCAGACATCCGAACTGCCAGCCTACAGGCACCTCTGCAAGGAAAGGTTGGATGTTGCTTAAGAGTTTTTTCCAACAGATAAAGGGGAGGTGGGGCACGTTCCCATAAGAGAATCTGGTTTTACTAGGCAGGGACCCACAGCAGATGCAGCTCCAGAGCCGTGGGTTGCTGACCCCTGTTCTAGTCCAACACCTTGCTCAGCTGGAGACCTTATAACACTTTGGACAAATAGCTGTCCACTCTCCTCTTGAAAACTTCCAATAATGGAGCACTTACATCTTCTGGAGGGAAGCCATTCCACTGACTAATTGTTCCCACTGTTAGGAAATTTTCAATTTAGTTCTGTGTAGGTTGGATCCTTCTTTAATGATCTTCCACCTGTTACTTCTTGTCCAGCCCCCAAGTACTTTGAAGAATAAGTAAACTCCTTCTCTGTGACAGCCCTTCAACTACTGGCAGACCCCTAATCTTTCTCTTTGTAAGACTTGGCATACCTAATTTCCTTATTTGTTTATCATATGGCTTTGCCTTCAGACCTTTTATCATCTTTGTTGCCCTTCTTTTCATTGTTTATATGGTCTTATGATCTCTCTATTTTGTATTGTGGGGGCCAAAATGGGATACAATATTCCAAGTGTGGTTTCACCAGTGCAGTTGGTCAGCCAGTTGCGAATCCATTTGGTAGTAGTATTTTCTATCCTGTGTTGTTCTACCTTATCAAGAAGTAGACTGTGAACTACTGGTGTTCTTTTACATTTTATTGTCTGTTTTGACTTACATTCCTATTCTGTCGCGGGTACTGCTTTTGATAAGCTGAACTATTTCTTCCTTTTGCATAAAGACAGATGCAAAGAATGAATTAAGCAGTTCTTCTTTCTTCCTGCTACCCATCACCTCCTTGCCATCTAAAAGATTCTATAAACCACATGAAACTATTTTTTTAGACATCAATGGAAGAGAAAGTAACCAAGACATACATGCAGGGGAAAGGATGATTTGTGAAAATTGGAATGTAATGTTCATATGTATTAATAAAAATTTTTCTTTCACTACACCTTCAGCTTGTTCCTCCTTTTAAACCTCAAGTGACATCTGAGACGGACACCAGATACTTTGACGAAGAGTTTACTGCTCAAACTATTACAATAACGCCACCTGAAAAATGTAAGTATCTCACTATTAAGGAAGGTAGGAGGGGAGGATTTCACATTTCATTTATTTGATTATGAAGAATCTAAGACATAATCTTAGATTATGAAGCTATTACAACAAATAATAACTATAATAGTAATTTGTGAGTGTGAGCATCTAATGATGATATCAGTCAGCCATTGAGGAGGGTCCCTGGGAATCAGAAAGGTCTTTCAGCAAGAAGAGAAGAAGTTGATAGTTCACTTAATTTTTCCCTTTTTCTCCTCCCCTTTTTTGACACCCTGTAGTCTTCCCAAATTCTTTTTGGTGGGTGTCTTCAATAGCAAAGGTCTGTGTCACTCACATTCATCCAAATCATCAGGATAGAACTGCAGAGACAGAAGGGGAAGAATAAGAAGTTATTGGTTGCCTTTTATTTGTATATGTATTGAGTATATCTGGAGCTATCCAAGAGATCTTATAGTAGGAAATCTTCAGCAGTGACTTTTTAAACATAATTATGTACTCTGATGTACTCTAATTTAGAAGGATAAAAAAGCCCCTCTGATGGGTTGGCTGAGTAGGTGGGAATTAGTTCAAAATTTCAGAGTATTAATCTACAGGAGTGGGAGTCTATTTATCAATAATCTATTTCTTCATTCTATTGAATATTGGACATCCTTGAATCCCTGAAGACTTGTAACATTTATATTTTGTACAAGGCCTAATTAATCTTATTCTGTCTATTCGGCTTCTCATTCTAAAAAATATTTACAAAAATAGTCTTCAGTTTTACATATCTCTACAAAAGATCATAGTAAACATAAATACAAAAATAATTTCATATTTAATTGGCAACTTGAAATATAAAATGTATATTTTAATTCTTCCAACAATAAAATTTGAAAGGAAAAATGTGATTTTTTCCCACATTTCATTGAACTAATCTTAAGAAAAATGCATTTAGGATGGTAGCATTCTAATAATAAAATATGTGCAAAACTCCTTATTTCAATAAAGAGGAACATATTAGTCATTTTTATGAGATTATCTTTAACCTTTAATTCCACAGATGATGAAGATGGCATGGACTGCATGGACAATGAGAGACGACCACATTTCCCTCAGTTTTCTTATTCTGCAAGTGGCCGGGAATAACTTCCTGTTTTGTATTCCTGCTATAGAGACATACTCAATTTATCACTGAAAATGATTCCTGAACATCACCACCAGTCCTTGTTATTATTTAGGAGAGCAGAGCACTTTCAGAAATCATTCCAAATTGACCAATTTCCTTTTTTGATTAATCAGCCTATTTGGTTTATCTGCATGAGGTGTTACATTGTTCTAAGTTGACCTGCGGTTACTGCTGTCTCAGCATGAAAGTCATAGCAAAAAGCATTCCCCAGATATTAGAAGGCAAATTCTCAGTTGCGTGGATTTGTGCACAACTAGCTCTTATTCTCTTGCCTTCCCAGAGCAGAGATTAAAGGGCATGCCGGTCTGTGATACGGTTCTTGCTCCCTTCTAAAATTAATTCCATTAATTTGGATGTTTTCACAAGCTGATTGGAGCTTGACAGAATGAGGGAATATTACAAGGTGGTTGTGTACATATGCAAGCTTTTGGTAGATGTATGCCATCACTTGAATCAGTTTTACGTTTAACATGTGGATAAAAACATTCAGGCTAAGGACCTATAATTGTGTGTCTGTATGTGTGTGCGCGCGTGTACATACACATACTCACACACAAACACACAAAGATAGATAGATATATGTATAATTATATATAATTATTTTTTAACTGTTGGATACTACCCAAGAAGCAAAAAGTCTGGGATTACCAATTTCCCACTTAGACTTCCATATTCATGTGCAATTATGGAGAATGGGACATTTAAATGGAAGAAATTATCACATAAAAGCAGCAAGTGATGTTGTTTCAACCTCTTATGATTTGTGTCTTGTGCTTTCCTTTTTCTTCGTTGATATTCATCACCCCTGGAGGCTGAAGAATTTAGACAAGCTTAACAACATTGCTTTTCACCAAAATTTGTATACTAAGGTAAACAATTGTTTACCTTTTATGTTTTTTTGAGTTTATGAACTAGTTTTATTTTCTTCAGATGTTTTAATTGAATATTTTGTTACACTTCAGTAGTATTTATTTTTTAGTGACAATGATTGTATGTGTCATGTTTGCAATGCTGCTACATCCTAGAAGAGGCTTGCAATTTATTTTATAATGTACGGAAGAACTGTACAAGCTGAACAAAAGAATGCACTTTTTTCTATATGAAAATGTTAAAATTCTGAAAGTGTACCTTGTATTTAGAATTTGGTTTTTATAGTTAAACTATTTCATTATGATCAAGAGAAAAAAATCCCCAACCTATGTATCCCAATTGTTTGCACAGTCTTTACTGAAGTTGAATGTGGTATAGAAGTTGGATAACCTTCAAAAATTTTAAGTTACCAAGGCCACAGTGATTACAAGAAATGCATTGTAAAGTTTCAAACATTTAGTTAGATTGATAGAAGTATCTGTTTTAAAATACCGTATTAGTTCTAGCCATGACAGATGCAACATTTTTAGTAAACCTAATTCTCAAAATATTTATTAAATAGGATGTTTGAATATTTATTTTTTCATTTAAAAGATTTTAAAAAATAAACATGTGACGAAAGGCAATTTATGACATGGCCCTTGGTGATGGGAGTTGGGATTTTCTAAAGGAGCTAGTAAGTGTAATAGTGCATGCCAGATTAGCCCTGAAGGATGATCTGTGGGATTATAACTGATGATTCTTGACTTCATTCTTTGTAACTCCTATAATCTTTTAAGCTCTTATATGACTTGTCTAAGTCTTATGAAAACTGCCCTCATGACTTTAAAAAATATTTACATGCAATTGTATCCATCTCTTGATGCAGAAAATGTACATACTTTGAAGTATCACTGCAGGCAGTGGAACGTGCTAGGGTTATCAAGAGGCATGTGGGCATTTTATTCAGGCAGCTAGGATAAATCTATGCTTTAAAGAAATAAGGTAAGTATCATTGTATACTATAGTAGGTCAGAAATACTGTGTATCTCTTGTGTGGAATGATTATAGAATAAGACAACATCTGCATTTATTAAAAATTGGTAAGCAGTAAGGAACAGACAGAAAGAATGAGAAATTTAGTTTATGATCAGTGTCTTAGTACTATGTATTAAATACAAGTATACTGTTTCTTTAATAATAGTTGAAGTATTCTGAGTTCAGCAGTACTAATATGCAAAAATTTATTTGCTCTTCAGATGGACAAGGAAGTTAATTAGGACCACTTCTCTCCTTTTGCCATGGATAAATAAGAGAAGTCAGGAGTCTCATACTCCAAATGAATGAGGTCATGTACTATCATCATTTTCCTACTTGAAATATGCCAGCCCAAGCTAATAAAAAAGCCTGACATATATAAGATACATTTCTTCTCCTGTGCAGCCCTTATATAAAAGTCTGCACATGGATCAGTCTTGCTGGATTGGAACAGGCATGCTTTTTCACAGTTCAAAACATTTATTGATTAGTGTGTGCTTGGACTATTTTAGATTACTCATAATTATGTTACACATAATCATTAAGAGGATATAGTTCAGTACTAAAGTATAGAGCAGCCACAATTGAACAGACTGTTTAGGGGAAAGGGGTATTCATTCAATTTGAATGTCCGTTAAACTCTCAGGTTGTCCTCTGCCTCCCACCATCCACACCCCACTTTCCTTGCTCTCACTCCCCTTCCTAGAGATGGACTACAGGAAAAAGCACTTTCAGATACAGCCCTTCAAGGGAGGTAGTTGTTCCTAGCATCAGTCTTTGGGATGTTTGATGACGCTTTTCTTTCTAGCTCCTCTAGCAGTGTTCAGAGCTGCAGGTGAGGGAAGGGGAAGGAGTCACAGCTATTGCTCCTCCTCAGAGCACCTCCCCAGCCTTTTTTCCTCAGCTCAGCCCCACCGCTCCTCCTCTCATCGTCTGCCAGGTTTTCTCAGCCCCTTTTCTCCTTGACCCTCCCAGGAACTCACCATTAAGTATCTACAATATACACCCACCTGACCAACCTTGCATTTTCTGTCTCCCAGAAGTTAAACAGAAAGCATATCCATTTTTGAGGGTTTAGCAGCAACTGCTGCCCAGACCATTCCCCAAACAAGGGAGAAGTCTGTTATTTTTGGAATATTGCCCACATGGAAATTTTGTTCATTGTGTCTAAAGTCCATTAGTCCTGCACTATTTGTGATGGTCAATGATAAATTATTTTTGTAAACATGCCATTGGTCAGTCAGTATAGAGGAAAAAACATTCCATGCAGTCCCATTTTTACATTATACAAATATTATATTTTACGTTCTAAATCATTAATACTATTTTTATGATGACTTGATTTTTTTTAGTCATAATCCTATCTGATTATAATTGTTTCTACCCATTGCTTTTTGAGTTTTGATGTGTTGGCCAGGGAACGTAATGTAGTAAAATTATGGAGATTAAGAAAAAATGAAATCTTGAAATACATAAAATAGAATTTCTGTGATCTTTTTCTTGGTTTTGTATAAGGGATATTTTATACAAGATTCTAGATTAGTAAAACTTGCTTATTAATATGTTATGAAAAAACAACATAGACCAGTTATGCTAATATGGAAGAAAATGAGTAGCTGTGTATAAAGTGAGGCTAATGTGTACTCTTTCTTATCTGTTGAATACCAAGCTGTCTCGTTTAAGATGCTTGTTGCACCAATATTAGGTGAATAAGGCTCAATTCAGTTTTCCCGCTACACTCACTTTTTAACAGAGTTTTAGATTTTTAACAAGGCTTCAATGTCTCACCCTTTCTCAATATACAATATGGATAGATGAGAATGTTATTTATAAATATTAACTCTTCTGAATTCCTCCTGCCAACCAACCTAATGTGCTAGTTCAGAAGAAAGTAGCTTTTGTCCAAAGGATCAGAAATATATCATCTCGTTGTACAGGCATGTTACCTGAAACATTTGAATGATCCCATCTGTATTGCAGGGTGCAAACATTGGGCTTCAGACAGAATATTTCATCATGAGTGCAGTATTGACCAGGGGACACATTGTATTTTGTGCAACACGGATGGGATCAGGACATTACTCCAAGATCATTCATATTCAATAGTGAATGGGCTCTACCATTCTGAAGTATTCATTGCTTACATCATAGATTACTTTTTAGATCATTACTATAAATGAATACTTTGATAACACTTTTTGCCGTTTGCTCTTTTTGGCAAAATTCACAAATGAAGTTATAGAAGTATCATAGGGTTAGTCTTCAAAGTTCTAGATGATCTCCTGAACATTTATGAGATCATTAATGTCTTTCACCGTCCCCTGAATTTTCAGACAAGGGCAGTGCTACTATATACACAATAAAATGTTTTATGAAAAAAGTTAAACCAACTTTCAATTTTGCTATTTTCCTGAAAAGGAACTTGTAATTTGATGAATATGTGCTCAGCTGAACAAAAAACCAGCTTTCTTTTGGCACTAGATGGCAACACTAAAACCATGTGTCTTACGAACAAAATCCAAAATATAGTGATATATCTCTTTTATATTGAAGTGATTATAATTAATGAAATTAATTTATTTTACCTGAAGTTTCAAAGAGCAGTGAACAATACAAGCAGTGTGTGGTATCGCATTAGTTTCTTTGCAGACACAATCCTACAGCTTTTTCGTTGTGATATCAGAGATCTTTTCCTGGAATCAGTGGGCTTGCACCAAACAGGTTCAGTACCATGTAGTTTCTATATGTTATATATTTCATATAAAGGACTTTATGATTCTGTTACTTCCCCAGTAGTCTTATGGATTAGGATCTCAAAAAGAACTTGCACTTTTACAGCATTTTGCTGAGAGCACTACGCTAACATCCAGCCTCAAAGTAGGAAATAATATTAAACCAAGTTCTGTATGAGATGAACCAGAAGAGCCTCTGCCATTTTAACTCTTTAATATATTGCATTGTGTCTATATTGTGTCATTGAGGAAAAGGGATTAATAGATGGCCATATACATTGAATAATTTTTGTTGTATATCTTTCCTTCAGGAGTTCAAAGTAGCAAAAAAGGAGTCTCTCCTCATATAATCCTATGAGATAGGTTAGCTGAGAGAGTGTGACTGGCCTATAGTAATGACAGCCATTGTCAGAAAGAATTGACAAATTCTGGGCGGAAAGAGAAGGCAACCTCTTTTCTACATAAAAGACAGTATTATAGAAAGCCTTATCATAATTTTCTCCAAATCAAATAGCATCTGTCTTTTTAAATCACAGATTTGCCATGGAATTGCAAATTAGTCCATATTATAAAGAACAGAACTTTTGCCATTTTGTATAGAGAAAATATTTAAAAGTCAATATTTAAATTGCCTCTGAATTTATATATTATTAATACTGGGCTGACATCTGCTAGTGAACTAACATTCCTATCCTCCTTCCCTAAATCTTTCTCAAAGGCTGGAATGTAGCAAATGCATGCCTGCTCATCTAATGTTGGATGCAGCCTACTATAACACATCCTGATAAATAAGTGGGGGGAATCTCCGAAGCTGGCATCCTATTTTATATCAGTTGCCTGCATTTAGTGTGTTGTCCACAGACCCAAGTCAGCACTAGAAGCTTTATCCCCTTCCTTTCTTGTGCTAAGGAGGATAGGATGATGGAAATCGAAAGGCCTAAATACTTGAAGCTCATCAGATTGGCTAAACTTGTCACAGCTTTATATCATTTGGTTTGATTTAAAGGCAATTGGGATTTGAATTCATGTTCCTATATGAAATAATCCTTCAGAATGTGGCAGCTAGTCTTCCCAAATAATACATCAGTATTTTTTTAAAAATAGAACTAACACTATGGCCACAATACATTTGTAGCTTTTCTACTGTCTTGCAGCCTTTTCTGAATTTTGCTACCCTGACACAAGAGCTTTCAAGAAATTGTATTTTCATTGTATCTTGTTGGCTCCAGCTTATACTTGCTTCCAGGACATGATGTCCTCTTAACACTGCAGCCATCTTGACGACATCAAAGACTTTGGTTTATATCTGGATAATTTTTGCACACAGCTTTGCTTCCCATCATGATTCTTCCAATACATTTTGCTCATTGCAGAGTATTGTTTTATACTTTTTTTTTCTTTTTAAATGGGGGAAGGTGTCACTTCTTGAAGCTGGCAGTTCTTGCACAGGCCATGTGCTTCTGCTGGAGTGAAAAAATGTAAGCTTTCCTTACTATGTGCAGGGTCTCTATATTACACCTCAATGTACAATTTTGCTGCTACTGTTTGTACTGTCTACAGTAGAATTTCCTTATCTTGATCCTGGTAGTGCATTTACAGGTAAGCATGAAATGTAAAATATTTATTTAAATAAAAACTCTAAATTGATCATTCAATTATCTTCCCTTAGCTCTAGAGTTTGTGAAATTCCTTGACCTTGCTAGTTTTTTCAGAAAATCCCTGACAAATCTAATTGTATAGTTAAGGATATTAAGCAGACAAGACTAAGTCCAAGAAACAATTGTATTTGTACTTAGTTGTACTTAGGCTACTTTCTTTAGCATATGACCATAAGGATCTAAAATAACTACAGGGCTTTTTATTTACTTTTTGTACATTACATATCTTTACTAGTTTTACACTTACATATAGGGACACTCATTTGTGTATTTATTTATGCACACAGTATAAATAAAGCACAATGTCAATCTGTTAAATTTATGTCTATGTTGTTGGTTTTGCTTTGAAATACATATGCACATAAAGTTACAATTCTTTTTCCACTTTGTTTTAGGATAAAAGAAATTGCATACTCTGTTGAAATGACTGAAATACATAATTTTGAATTACAGCAGGTATAACTGAAGTGTAGAGTTTCTAAAGTATAAATCTGAACATAAAGATATACAGACGATAGTTTTAAAAGGCTGGTGCTTTCTTCTGACAGTGTGTGCATCGCCTCATTGTGCATCTGACGGTGCACAATGTCAGTCTTCATATAAATTATCAAGAAACTGCTCTGTTCTCCCATATGGAAATATCTCCTTTTAGATAATTCTGTAATTAAGAACATTTATTAAATACTAATTATATATAAGATTCCCACTGTTTAAAGACGCTCACTGTCTAAAAAATATGGGAACGGAATGAAGGAGCCAGAAGGAAACCAGATGCAGAATTTGTTGTATAATTCATACACAGCCACTGTAAGAAAAGCATGCTGGAGGACACATTTAAGAAAAACATTTTTATTTTTAACTGAAATTATCAGAGCATAGCATTCATTATGGAAATGCATTCCATGTATAAAAGAATACAAGTTAAATAGGAAAGATTTTGGAATGAATAATAAAAATTATGAATGGAAACTTACAGAAATGGCAAAAGTAATAAAGTCAGGCTTACGAACACAAAAAAGCAGTTCAAGAATATGTAAGGTGCTTGCTTCAATAACTGATGAGAAACTATGCATTCTGATACTGATTCTGCTTTTGCAAAATCATGAGTAATAATTACCAGTTTGTCCCAGACATCAGTAGCTTGGAAAATCATAAGATTCCAGTATAGCATCCATTCACTCATTTCTGTTACTCTTTCATGCCTGACTCAAAATTATGGAGTTAAGGACTCATTTGCTTAATTAATATATATTAATTTACTTCAAACATTGGACTGCTCTGTGTAGAACAATTCCAAAATTGGTTTAAGAAATAAGTTTTCCAAATTTGTAATATTAAGAATACAATCCTAAAAACTATAAATAAGCATTTCAAGAGCTGTAGGATTTCTTAGATTTTCCTCTTGAGGCCCTATCAGAAATCAAAACTGACTTAAAGGCAATCAATCATTTAATAAATCTCCAAGATCTAGAAATGGAAAGCTTTAAAAAAAGGAGAGAGATTTCAGAAAAGATGCTTCGTTGTTCTAGAGGGTTTTTTCTTACCGCTTTCAATAAGCATTAAAAACCAATAAGGAAAGGAATGAATCTTTGTTAACTTTTTGTACTTCAACCTTGTCAGATTGAAGCCACCAGACTGTCTTGTGAGATCTGATAGATACTTAGTATTCTTTTGACTACAAAAATGCAAACTTGAGACAACAAAACCACAGTATCATATTTGTCAAATTGACCACCACACTTCTTTAAGAGGCAAAAGATTGAATGCCTTCAAAAATACTTTCTCTATATAATGTAATGTTGCTGTTATATATACATTTTGTTTTGCTTTCATGGAATTTCAAGTCCCATGGGTTAAGCTTCTGGGAATTCTCTCAGAAATGGTATAGGGTCTCCTGCTTGAGCAGGAGGTTGGACTAGATGATTTACAAGCTCCATTCCAACTGTGTTGTTCTGTTATTATTCTCTTATTATTATTATCCCATCTAATAGCAGTCAGTTCTATTGTTGTAAGGTTGTTTCATCCTGGATCTTCAGACCTTTGCTGTATCTGCTACAGAAAGAATGCCAGACAGTTACCCCACTCTTCTGTAAAGTTATCCAAAAAGGCATACAATTTAATTATATAATCAGCAAGAACTAGAAATAGAGCATTGAAATATGGTAACACAGTATAAAAAAAGTAGCTGCAAGTATTTTAACTGGGATAAACTGTTGTAGAAACTGAAACTTGTAGCAATAAAATAGTTTTTGCAGATCAAAGTGGAAAAATAATCTATTTCTGAGGAAGAGTTAAAAATTATGGTACCATCACAGAAAAGGTCCATCTTTAGTGATTTTTTCTGAATTGCTTGGATGATGAGTTCCCAAACAATGATCACACTTTTTAGTCAGGCACTTACAACAATGTTTGGCTCTTTAAACAGCTTAGTGTTTGGCCTTTAAATTACCCTGTTTTCAAACTGCTTTGATTTTACGTTTTCATTGCAAAATAAAACAATGCCGTTTTTATGGATCACAATTATTGGAAACCACAGTCTCCAGAATAGCTTTATACCTGAAATGAACTTAGACTTAGTATCTACACTGCTGAAGTCATCAGGTGCCCAATTGGAAGAGGAAACATTCTCAAATGAAACAGTGAATTGAAAAAACAGAGGAGTGCAGGTTTCCAGAGACTCAGTGGCCAGAAGTCAAATCAGACTTAAGGCAATTTGGAAATGCTAAAAGAAGACAAGAATAGCATATGAGAGTTCAAGTAGCAATGAATCAATGCATAGAGATTCAACAATCAGTTGTTGTGTTCATTTACATAATCCGTACTTAGTGTTTTTTACCATCAGCTTCACATGTGAACTGTCTTATTTAAACTGACAAAAAGAAATACAGTATGTGAATTCTGTTTGTAATCATTTACAAGTGAGAATTCATTTATACCTGTAAGTAATCACCTGATAAGTTTATCAAGAATGAATCAGCATGTGTGAACAAATATTTGCCAGGGATGCTTGAGAAACAGATTAGCAAAACTCAGAACATTTAACAGCAGAATGCTTAAGAGAACCAAAGGAATAAAAGGATGTGTACTTGGTAAAGAAAGAAATGGAAGTAATGGAAAATAAAAATACAGGCAGAAATATGTAGTTCTGTCTAAATACATGTAGGATCTTAAATATCTGAAAGATTGGTAAGAGCTAGGAAAAATACTACTACTAGTTGGAAGATAGTGGTTGCTGAGTTTGGAGAATGAATGCAAGGTTAGGTGAGGTGGGAACAAATTCTTGAGGGACACCGAATGGTAAAAAAAAATTTTAGGAGGAAAAACAGGGTTATGCATGTGCTGGAACCTTCCCACTGAAATCAATGGGATCACAAACCTTAACTTTGTCTGGACTGTGCCTTAGTTATATGTAATCATGATTTCTCAGTTAAGTCAATATTTATTATACCATGAAAACATTTTATGACCAGAGGTATGTAACTATTCCAATTAAAACACATAAATTAAGATTCCATGCTAGACTTTGAGTTATTGCTCCAGGAAATTCTAATAATTGCATATTTGCTAGTCATTTTTAGTTATAAAATGACATAATGTTACACTTCTGTTTACTTCTGTCAAGCATGTACACATTTATTTATTTGGGTTGTTTTTTTAAATCTATCCTACTGCTGAAAATTTAGGGTGGATAATATTAAGAAACATTTTATTCATGTATTTAATAAATATTTATTACATATTTATAAGGGTGAAATGAAATTATTGCCATGTTAATGAATATCCAAAGCAAATGTGTTATTGGTCCTTCTTCATTTCCAAGCACCCTTTAAAACACTGTGTATGAAGGGTTTAAATAAGATTGCCTTGGACAATTCAGTATTTATAATTTTTAATCATAACTAAAACTTTGCTATGAGTCACCATTTATCAAATAGTCAATTATTATTTGATTTCCAAGAACTTTCATTTTATTATTTGGTACAGATTCTGCATTGAAACAATACTGTGCAGTCTTGCGATCTGTATTTTGCAACCAAATGTCACATTTCAGTTATAGCTCTAGCAATATTTATTCAGAAGTCAGTTTGTTCAACAACTTAAGACACTGATCAAAGATTGGTTGTCATACTTGCCCTTCCTTTCCCCACTACAAGCTGACACATTTTTCCTCTTGCTAGTCAACCCACTTGTTTGTGCACTGTCTCCATCCCAAGTCGACTTTTGATTATAGGTAGATTTATAATAAAATTAGAACTTTTGCCTAGGAGTCCAACATTGATTTAATTCCTCACATTTTTATTAAATTCTTACCTTGTTGACTATAACCATCATGGGCATCATTCAAGACATTCTAGATGCTCAGGATACTCCACATCAACCTCCATATTAGCCCTGTTTTTTAAATGTATGCTTCCTTGGCAGGTGGACCTATTTAGAAGCAAAGTACAGAGCTACATCCATTCAGTTTTTAATGTGGAAGAATGTACATGGGGCTATATGGAATCTAGGTGCACTGAATATAAATACAACTTTAGATTCTAATATCTTGATTTGCAAATACAATGTTTTACTTTTTTAAAAATAGAGTGAGATATTTTCAGCTTCAAAATACATGTGTGTCTTCTTATAAAAACAGACCAACTACAGTTTTGCTGTAATATTTCTACATCATCACTATCTTTAAGCTGCAGGATAAAAGATCTCTCCCTCTCCCTCTCTCTCTCACACACAGACACACTTTTCCCCTCTGCCACACTGTGCTTTTTTCTCCAACTTAAAAAAATAGTTCATTGTTTCTCCAGCAGAAATGTTAAAAGGCTCAGCTCCACAGCTTTCTTGCCCTGATTCACCATTTGTTGACATGCCCTCACTACAGAGTTTCCATCTTGTTACCACTGCCTTGAACAATGAGAACCAGCAGAAAAAGATATTTTACACAAGAACATGGAAAACATTCTATTTAGATATTATATCCTGCAGAGAGGAGGAAGGTGGAGGTAAAGTGGTCTTTGCGGGTGCGGGGGGGGGGAAGGATGTGACTTATTTGGCTCCAATTAGTTCTGTGGGATCATCCATTTCTGGTCTTTGGCTTCTTTGGCTATAGCTTCTTTTGTGAGAGCTTGGAAACCTGATTCTCCAGACACTTTGTTTTTTAAACTCTTAAGAATAACCCGTTGACCTAAAATGAGGCTTCTGCCCTGACTGGACAACCAGAATATCAAGTCTGCTTCATGCTGTGGAACACAAAACAGTGGGAAGGAGAGGGTAAAATTAACCAGATTTCCTGCTTTATGGCAGCTAAAGTTCTCCAGAGAGAACCCATAAACAATTGAATTGGTTCTCATATCTGCCTCTGATACATTACTGACAGTCAAGTAAAAGAATCTCACAAAGATTATTAAATAAGGAAGGCGATTACTAAATCTTCAAACCCAATTTCTGAGCTTTCTAGGCTGAAGTTGTTTTCATTCTCTTCATACTGTAATAACTATTTGATGAACAACAGACAGCTCCCTTTCTCCCAGATATGTGCAGAGGTTCTGAACCTGTCCTATTTTTAATTAACCTCTCCCCTTTCCAGAATCTGGGAATATTAATAACCTCCCTTCTTCCTTCTTCACCAATTATGAAGCCAGGCTGAGGAACATTTTCCACTTGCTCGGGAGATGGTGGAGGGCTAAGGTACTAATATTGGACAGGTAAACTATTTTTTCTGTGAAAATTGCTCCAAGAGATGGAACATACAGGGAATCTGGTCAGAGATGCTGGCAGTTCCATATGCCTATGATTGTCACAACAAAATCAAATCAAAAACAGTGCTGGTATCCCAGAACAGCACAACTCTTTCATATCCTGTATCTGCTGAAGAACACTTGCGGCAAAGATGCTGGCTTTGTGGTGCTAGGACAAATCCATACTTTAAGACTTATTTATAGATGTGAGTCCTAGGCAGATGGTAAAGCCACAAACGGACTGAAAAATCAGCTACTTCCACTGCCATCTCTTTTTTGTTCTTTCAATTCAGCCCAACCATGTATGTTTGCCTAGACTGACATTTATTAAACATAAAGGTTTGCTACCATCATATCGAGTTCTAAGGAGAATATGATGTATGTACGAATTCCAACCTCAAATAAAGTTTTGTCTAGGGATTATATATTATTCATTTATATGAAAACATGAAAAATCAACGATCATCGAATTATTTATAAAACCATTGAGAATGTCATTTATCTGACTTTTAAACTAATATCTAAGATTATTGATGTCTTCAAGCACCAGGTTTAGTGCAAACAACTCTACAGTCCAATTAGAGAGCTGCATTTATGATCTTTCAGATAGAAAAGCAATCATTTATAAATACTGCAGACTACAACAATACTAAGCTCCAGAGCTGTAGGAAAAGAAACTTTTCATCATCTTGCAAAGATGAAACAGATTTCAACCTTATTGGGGGAACTGTTCCTCACCCATGGGACAATAATACTTTAATTTATTTCAAAGGTGATGTGTGTACCTCTCTAGTCAGAGTAAAAAATGATGTAAAAATGAGGAGCACTGGGGGGATAATACTGCATTTAAAGCTGGTTTTGATCCAGTATAACTTATCTGCATGTTTCAAGTTCCATCCAAAAAGACTGCACGTGTCAAATCATCTAAAAGTATAAACAATCAGAATTGTCTTCTTGAGAGAGCACAAAAAAGTTATTGAGTCCAAGACAGATGGGATGACTTTCCCAGCAAGGGAAGACATTGACAAATGTTTAACGATCTAAGCACATCAGGTCTTTATGCTGAAAAAAGGTGATTGGCATTTTTCTTCTCTGATGTCTTCTCCGAAACGTTTTCAACTATGGCTGTGGGACAGAGGATAACTGAAAGAAAACAAACAACAAAAGATGGACTTTTACCACTTGTAGAGATCTGCAATCTTACATGATTTTTCTGTTACTTTTTTAAAAAGATAGTTGACAATGAATGAATATCCTATAAACAGGTTTCAAATCTCTTTCTTGTATTGATTGTGTACAGAGTTACATTTCACAACAACATGTTGTAAAAAAAAGGCTTCCATGATTTCTTAACATAGCTCATGCTTAACAGCAAATAGCACAAGTCTTGTATCAGGAAACATCTATAGTTGCCTCTTTTCCCTTCAAAAGAGGTGACAGATTTATGTTAGAATACATCACCTTGACAAGGTTTTGTCAAAGAATGGCCAATTGTATCAAATCAGAAGATTTTTGTTTCAAGTTTAAAACAATTACAGCACTTTTGCGAAATGGTTTCTTCATCTTTATAAACCACTGCTATGAATGGCAATGAATATTCCTCAACCCGTTTTACCATTTTAGCGCAGCCAATAGAAACAGAATCATATTAATGACTGGGCACAATTACCCGCTGCAAAAACAAATAGAGGCTGAATGCTAACAGAAACTCAAAATGGGACTAAGATACAAAAGAAATGAAATCAGCAGTTCCACAGTAGTTCCACAAGAAAAGAAAAAGAAGAGAAGGGGTGGAGAGAATTAAAAATTCTGATTTAATAAGGAATGAGAATGCCAATCAACCATGGTGTATCAATAAGCCATAAAGAAGAAAAGGAAAAATTGGTTTGCATGAACTAAAGTCATGAATATTTCTCCTGGTTTTCAGAGATACCTGAGTCTGCAGAAAATCCACCTCTTCTGTAAGCATCTGCCGCTCCTTGTATAACTCATTCTGTTTGTTGAGTAATTCTACAAGTTGCTGGGCAGAAGACTGGCAATGCTTGTCAAGTTGATGTAATCTGGATCAAATATATAAAAAAGAACAGAATTATAAATGTAAAAAGCATGAGCAAATTTGCAAGGGGTATTCTTTGGATTATGGAAACATCGCCAGGCTACATTTACTAGCTTGTTGAAGAAAAGTTACCCAATAGCACACACAATAACAGAGTTGAAAGGGACTTTGGAGATCTTCTAGTCTAACCCTCTGCTCAAGCAGCAGACCCTACACCATTTCAGACAAGTGACTGTCCAATTTCTGATGGCAAGCTGTTCCACTGATTAATTGGGCTCACTGTTAAGAAATTTCTCCTTAGTTTTAGGTTGCTTCTCTCCTTGATTAGTTTCCATCCATTGCTTCTTGTCTTGCTCTCGTGCTTTGGAAAATAGGTTGACCCTTCCACTTCCTTGTGGCAATCCCTCAAATATTGGAACATTGCTATGTTATCCCTAGTCCTTCTTTTCACTAGACTAGATTTACCCCATTCCTGCAACCATTCTTTATATGTTTTGGCTTCCAGCCACCTAATCAGAGCCGAGGTGGCACAGTGGTTAAATGCAGCACTGCAGGCTACTTCAGCTGACTGCAGTTCAGCTGTTCAAATCTCACCGGCTCAGGGTTGACTCAGCCTTCCATCCTTCCGAGGTGGGTAAAATGAGAATCCGGATTGTTGTTGGGGGCAATATGCTGACTCTGTAAACCGCTTAGAGAGGGCTGAAAGCCCTATGAAGTGGTATATAAGTCTAACTGCTATTGCTATTGCTATCACCATCACTGCTCTTTTCTGCCTTCTTTCCAGGGTCTCAACATCTTTTTTATAATATGTTAACCAAAACTGGAGGTAGTATTCTAAGTGTGATCTTTAACTAAAACTTAATAAAGTGGTACAATTTACAATACTGATGTCATCTTGAAGCTGACCTGACCGAAGCCATCTTGGAGCTTCAGTGTTGCTATACTGGAGCT